CTATATAATCATAGGCACTGTACAGGTCATAGCCCACGGCCAGTGTGGACCCCCAGGTAGGGGCCATGGCATGCAGGCCGCTTGCTGGGGGAGATGGCGGTTACTTTTTCAGAACAGGGCATGGCAGCACTGGAGGGCAAGAGAAGATGAAGAGACTAGAGACCGGAGAAGAGAGTACATATACATTGATTTTAAAAATAAGTGGAGGCCAGGAATATAGACCTGGCATGTGTGAGGGAGGCCCTGGATTCAGTCCCTAACATCATAAACCAAAATGAATAAATAAACATTTTAAAAAGTTCCACAATATGGTAGAAGAGAAAATGTCCTTTCTCTAGTATATCATATAGTTCATTAGCTAAGACTTTTTCTTTATATTATTCAAACCTTAAGGTTTATACTTAAGGTGTATACTTAACCGATTTTTATCTGTATGCTATATTGGTTTCTGAGCAATATATATATTATGGTATTCCTTTATTGGGTGTGTCTTAAAATATTCCTCACCTGTTTATCCTCATATTTCTGTAAGTTTTATATAAGTATAATATTCAGTATTGCTAAATCTTGTTTAATTTTTGTCACTTTGTGTTTATCTTTTTATTTTTCTTAGAGTTTATTTTGCTTGATATTTATATACCTCAGCCAATTTGATATGCCTTTTTGTTATATGGTTGAACTTTTTTAGTAGTGCTGGTAATATTCAGAACCCCTTTACCAGCTAGTTGCTCCCCCATCCCAGCTGACGTGTTAATTGTCAGGTCCATAGTAGTTAGGTGCCACCTTCTTCAGAGATGTATGGGAGGTTCTAACTCACATTTCACACAGCCTTCAGCCAATGACTGTCTGATAAGAGATATGAAACTGTGACCCCGGGTCATGTGGTATTGACTTCATGTGTAGTTTTTCAGAGCCTCTCATGGAACAAATAGAGGCTAGACTTCAGCTAAAACCATAGTTTTTCTTGCTTTACATAGGTTTCTCCTGAGAATATTCCCTCAAAAGGTCACTTTTACAGAAATCCCTCTCAGGCTCTACTTCTAACAAAGTGAGTCTAAAGTGTCTAATGTTAAGTTGTAGAAGAACTGTTATATTTAATTTCAGTGAATATTTTATGTTGAATGGATTATGCAGATTGTTGATTAATTTAGTGACTCTCAATTGTAGGTCCCCTTCAAAATCAACTTTTCTTTGATTGCTGAGGCTGGGGTTGTGGTCCAGTGGTAGAGCACTTGCCTCCAATGTGTGAGGCACTGGGTTCGATTCTCAGCACCACATATAAATAATAATAAAAAAGATCCATCAACAACTAAAGTGAATAAATAAGTAAAATTTAAAAAAATATGTAATTGCTCAGTCCTATCCTGAACAGTTAATGATTCTGTGGTAATTCTTCTGGAATACATAATATTGTATAATTTTAGCATGCATACACATATATGTGTATGTAAAATAAGAATCCATTTAAGATTTTTACTTTTAACTGTTTTCTATCTTCATTTAAGATAAAATGTTCAAAATTATGTTAACAAAAGCACTTGCACCATTTAAAAAAAAATTAGGAGTGGTGGTGCACCCCTGTAATAATCCCTGTGACATGGGAAGCTAAGAAGGCAGGAGGATCATAAGTTTCAGGCTAGCCTCAGCAACTTAGTGAGATCCTGCCTCAATAAAAAATAAAATGGACATGGGGTATATTTCATTGGTAAATTACCCCTGGGTTAAATTCTTAGAACTGCCCCCCCCACCAAACAAACAACAACAACAAAAACTTAAAAGCTTACTTTGATTTTTCTCTTTAATTTTTACCCAATGTTATTTTTACTTCTAAGCATCTGTAAGGTATTTATACATTAAAGTAAAATATTTACCGTTACTACAAAATGCCTTCTAAGTAGTCCTGTAAAGTTTATATCTTCTCTTGTTCAAAAGGGACAAACTACTCTTATCTCAGTGCTGATTCTGTGCTTAGGACCAATAGTGGAAGGGGCATGAGGGTACTTTCAGCTGGCCATACATCACTCCCAGCAAGAGAAGGCTTGTGTCATGATACAGAACAGAGCACACCTAGCAGGATGAAGGTGTATTTACTGCGTGTTTATTATATTAGGTCTTCTGGGAGGAACACATTGTAAATACATAATTACAGAATTGTTAGCACAAATTCCTACCCTTTCCTGATTTTACACGCCACTTTATTTCATTTTTTACCAACATCTTATATGATAAAATAGAGTGAAACCAAACTTTGCTTGATGGAGAGGTTTTTCTTAAATAAAATAGTTCTTAAAAATTAAAAGCTGAGGGGCTGGGGATGTGGCTCAAGTGGTAGCGCGCTCGCCTGGCATGCGTGCGGCCCGGGTTCGATCCTCAGCACCACATACCAACAAAGATGTTGTGTCCGCCGAGAACTAAAAAAAAATAAATAAATATTAAAAAAATTCTCTCTCTCTCTCTGTCTCCTCTCTCACTCTCTCTTAAAAAAAAAAAATTAAAAGCTGATATGAATTGAGTGTGAATACTCAATCTTAAAATGACATTATATCTTATAACTCCCTGAGAGATGAGTTGATACCATAGAAAGTTAGCAGATTAATAATATAAATGTTTTAATATGTATGATATTAACTTGCTGATGGTAGCTGATTTCTTGACTAAATATTTGTTTTTGCTACATTGCATCATGTTGTGCTTTTCTAAAAACAGAGAGCTATTTTTATTACTCTGCCTAATAAACGATAAGATGGCCTAGCATGGAGAGCTAGCTGGTTTATTTGGATACTCCCTGTTGGTTTTCTTTCCATAATTGCAAACATGATTGCTTTGGCACAAACTATGTTTAGGAAGTGGAAGGAATGAAGTGAATATTCTTTATTAGTGGTGATGCTTTGTTTATTTTTGAGTTCTGAAGAGTTTTTATAGTTTCAGAACCTCTGATTAATTTTAAATTAGATTCAGTTTTTATTAATTTTCTTTATATCATTGTAGAACTATTTATTTAGCTAGACCCTTGTGTTATTGATTTTTATTGTTTGGCCATCTCCTGTATAAAATAATCTAAGGGCAGGTAGGGTGTACACAGCATTTAGGCATGGTCCTTCCCCTTTGGGACCTAGCATTTTACAGAAACTATTATATACAACTAACAGGTACAGATCAGACTGTACTTTTACAATGATAACACTAGTTCTGAATAGCACTAGGAGATTTTAAAACGGAATCACATACGGTGATAGTCCATTTGGACCTTGAGTTTGAGACTTTGTCCAATGGAGAGAGAGAAAAGAGAGATGCAGGTGTGGAGAGCAATATGAGTAAGGTGTACAGTGGTCATGTGAATGACATGCTTGCAAAATGACATATGTGACTAAAATATAGGGAGACCCTCCCTGCATGGACAGCTATTGATTACGGTAGGTGATATGACTGGGTTTTCAGGTACCTGTGGCCTTGATAGCACCTACGGAGTTTGAATTTTTTTTCTTTCCACATTTTTTTATTGGCATATTATAGTAGTGCATAATGGTGGAAATTGTTGTTATATATTTGTGCATGCACGCAATATAATAATTTTGGCCAATATCAATCCTCAGCATCCCCCACGAACCCCCCTTTACCACCTGGTCCCCTCATTCTTACTAAGCTCCTTTTTGATTTTCATGAGATCCCTGCCTCCCTGAATTTTTTTTTTTTTTTTTTTTTTTTTTGGTACCAGAGATTGAACCCAGCCAGGGGCACTTAACCACTGAACCACATCCTCAGCCCTTTTTATATTTTTTCTTTAGAGACAAGTTCTCACTGAGTTGCTTAGGGCCTCACTAAGTTGAAGAGGTTGGCTTTGAACTCAAGATCCTCTTGCCTCAGCTTCAGGAGCTGCTAGAATTAAAAAAAAAAAAAAATCTTTTTTTTTTCCATTAATAGGAATTGGGGGACTTTTAAATTAACTGGAGTTTTTTTTTTTTCTTTTCTCTCTCGTTACCAGGAATTGAACTCAGGGGCTTAACCACTGAGCCATATCCCCAGCCCTTTAGTTTTTTTTTTTTTTTTTTTTTTAAGACAGGATCTTGCTAAGTTGCTTAGGGCCTCATTAATTGCTGAGGCTGGCCTTGAACTTGGGATCCTTTGCCTCAGCCTCCCAAGATGTTGGGATTGCAGGTGTGTGTCACCATACCAGGCAACTTGGGTGTTTTCTCAATGTTCAGTATTCTTCTTAACTGCCTCCATACCTTTAAGTAGGTATAATGATAGGTATGTAGGTAAGGTTGATATACTTAAAACGTATTTAGAGTATGGTGATGTCATTGTGTCAGATAAAAGCAGAAACTTCAAAATTGCAAGGTTTTCTTTATTTTTTTCATTCCACTTCTGTTTCTATATTCTCTGGTTTCTCTAAGCCTGATCCGTAGTCCTAGCTTCATTTATAAATGACTTGTTTTCTCTGGAACTCATTTTTTTTTTACCTGTTAAAGTTAGGGTAATAAGTCATAGATCATTTGAACTGGTGTTTTTAAAAGTCTTTGGATATCTTAAATGGTGAGAAATAATTTTGGGTAGATATAGACCAACTCAGTGCTTTACTATGTTAACTAAGGGGAGGAAAAATAAATGGAATAAATAGGAAAGTTAAAAAAAAATGCCTTCTCTTTTTCAAAACTTTGAGGTGTTAGATATTGAGAATCTTCTTAAGATTCACTTTATTTCTTAATGTAACATAGCTTTATTTATTTATTTATTTATTTATTTATGGTGCTGTGGATTGAATCCAGGGCCTTGTGCATGTGAGGCAAGCACTCTTCCAACTGTGCTATATTACCCAGCCCTCACATTATTTTTATTGAAATAAAATTGAAGATTCACTGATAGTTATAACAGAAATGTAAGTGCTGTGTCATTGTCATCTCTTGTTTTGGCTCATATAACCAGACTTCAGCAAGACATGCTATCTGCATCACATGGCTAACAGTGGGAGGTATCTGGTGTAGATTATTCTTCTTGGAGGAATAGATTTAAATTTACTTGGTCAGAAATGTCACAGACTGGTGCCTGTTTATAGATCCAAAAATGTATTCAGTCAGGACCAAACACAAGCTGCCTGGATAGTTAATGTAAGTAAGAAAGCTAGGCTTTGAGCTTTGTCATACAGGTTTTCTGTATGTGCATGTGTCTGCAGTGTTTTTCTATTTAGAGGGCAGAGCTCTATAAGGCAGCAGTGGGAAAAGGGACTCTTTGTTATGGGAACTACTTGGGAGTGAAATGTAACTTTTTAAAACCTGTATCAGTGTGTTCTTTCATGTAGGAATTTATCTGGGTGATGGCCTCAGCTCTTGTAGTAATCAAGGGTCCTTTCCTGTTGCTAATCCTGTAATGAACAGAACCTTGTCAAGTCTGGAAATTTCATCAGTTCCTACTAGTACTGCTGTTATCTTTGCAACTATAGGGAGGCACCTGGGGGTAGAAAGGTAATACATTCTTCAGGGGTTTGGAGTTTATTGCTTAGGGATGTGAGATCCTGCTGAGTGTCTGTTGCTGTTTGCAGGTCTCCTTCTGAGAAGTAAGAGTAATTCAGATTTGCCTCAAAGATAATATGAGCCTGTGAACTGTGTAAATTGGTAACTGATTCCTCAAGAGATCCTTGCTGAAGATTTAGTTTTACTTCTAATGAAATACCATGTTGATTGAAAGAGACAAATAAGGTTTAGATTGATATGTAATAGATCTCTGAAAGAAATTCATTAAAGATCAATCTGAGGACAGCAGTGCAGCTGAGGCAGGAGAATTACAAATTCAGTAACTTAGTGAGACCCTCAGCAACTTAGCAAGACCCTGTCTCAAAGTAAAAAATAAAAAGGACTGGGGATATATACTCAGTGGTAAAGCACCCCTGGATTCAACCCCCAGTAACCCTGCCCCCCAAATTTGGGTAAATAAAGTTATCATTTAGTAGATTAAAGCTTGCTAATAAGCAAACTAAAAAAAGAAATCTAATGTTGAATATGAAAATATTATGATGTAGGCTATACCTTTAAACATGTTAGATTTTAAGTGGTCTCTAGGTCTGACTGGGATGTTGGGTTCCTTCCAAGCCTAAGGCATAAGCACTGCATTTTAAGCATAGCATACTTACCAGTCAGTTTTTTTGTGGGTGGCAGGGGAAGGGGAATACTGGGGATTGGACCCAAGGGTGCTCTACCCACTGAGCTACGTCCCCAGTTCTTTTTTGGAGAAAAAAAAGAGTCTTGTTAAGTTGTTTAGGCTGGCCTAAAACTTGTGATTTTCCTGCCTCAGCCTCCAGAGTAGCTGGGATTACAGGTGTGCATCACCACATCTGGCAACTACTTTGTTTAAATTAGAAATGAACACTAATCTGTAAAGATCTTAATACATTTAGTTTAGTAATTAATTCTAAAGTAAACTACCTACCACTGAAGGTGCTTATAACTTCATCATATATTCTTATTTACTATTTATGAGCACATGGCTGTTAATAGTGAGACAGTAGTCAAGACACCATGATTCTATTCTTTGCTTTATCATCATGTCATGTAGTTTTCTCCTACCTTTAGTTTACCTATTTCAAAACATGTCTCACCAGATAATTTCACTTCAGGCATGTGGTTAGAATGAAAGATCAAATGTCTAAAGTGCTGTGCTTACAAACCATGTGTTCTCTTGGTGTCTGGTTAGATAATATGGGGCTTATTTTCTGGCAGAGCAATGTCAGGCTCTTTTGATGTTAGCCAGAACTGGGTGGAGTTTCTTATGCTCCAGTCACTTTGGCTCAAGCAGGGCACTGTGCACTGGTGAATTTGTTTTCAGTCCTTTACTGCCATTTTTTTTTTGTTGCCTTTTAATAAAGTTGAGCACAGTTATAATTGAGCACTTGATTTATGGAATAAGAGTCATACCTATTCACATTGAGGGTCTTATATGAGTTTTGTTTATTAATAGCTAACTGAATCAATGAAACTGAATTGTAAGTAGCTCAAAGAATAAACAACCTGAGGAATCATTTAACATAGCACTCTCATTTTACAATTAGGGAACTTGCCCCAGAAGGTGACTCACTCAAGGCTACAATGTCAGATTCAACCAGTACTTCAGTGAAACATAGCATTTTCTGTATTCAGCTTTCAAATTCTCTTGTACTTTACCCACACATCCATTTAGTGTTACCTTTTTATTTATACAGATAGAAGAAGAATGATCAAGGAGAGATAATTTTTTTTTGAAAGTAGGTACTTCTTATTTACAAGGGTATGTTTTTTGGTTTTTCCGAATATCCAGATTTGAAAGCAATTCTGTGTTGTGTCTTTTTGTCTATAAAATATGTAACTGAACATTTAAGGCATAACTGAATATTAAATAACATCAAATAATTCTTTGTTAGTGAGATTCATACATGAATTTATTATAGGATGGAACACAGAATCATTTAAACAAATCTATAGAGCACTTAAAAAGCATATTAGACTTGTATGTCTTGTAAGATACAATAAATAGTTGGGTGTGGTAGTGCATGCCAAGCCTAGCAACTTGGGAGGCTGAGACAGGAGGGTTGTAAGTTTGAGGGCAGCCTCAGAAACTCAAGTGAGGCCCTTAGCATCTTAGCAAGAACCTGTCTCAAAAAGAAAAAGGTCTGGGTATGTGCTTCACTGGTAAAGAATCTTTGGCTTCAATCCCCAGTGCCAAAACAAACAGAAAATCACATAAACACAATAACTAGAAAATTAAGTAATCTTGCTAATTTATTGAAAACTGAGGTTTTCTGACTAAAATCTTATACTTTCACTTCCAACATTACTAGCCCTGCTTATTCTATAAGTAGAGTTTGTGTGCATGTGTTTTTAAGTCATACTTCTAGTTATGTGTGGGACAAATAAAAATAGCTAAACCATTGAGATGCAGATGCTGGGTGGTTGGCTTGATGCTCTCAGTCAAGTGACCTTCTCACTGTCCAATTTTGTTATATTCTATCAGTTTTGCCTTCTGGCAAATTTACAGTTAATCCAGGAGCTGGTGTGGGAATATGTGCAGGTAGGCATCTAGGGGGAGAAGGTTTACTGTGGATTAAGAAGCTGCTATTTGAGAATCTACAATCTGTTAAATAATATTTAAAATGTATTGGTGTTTTCATTCATGTATGCTAGCCAAGTGTTCTTCCATTGAGCGACATCCCCAGACCTTTTTAAAAATTTAATTTCCAGACAGAGTTCCTCTAAGTTGCTGAGCCTCAAATTTGTCCTCAAACTTGCAGTCCTTAGGGGAAGTGTTGAGGAGTAATATGGACCAAATTATATTGTTATATTTTGCACATATATGAATATGTAACAAAAAAGTCCCATCATTATGTACAACTGAAATGCACCAGTAAAAAAAAATGTGAAAAGAGAAAAAATAGATGTAAAAAGTACAAAACAAACAAACTTGCAGTTCACCTGCCTCAGTCTGGCTACCTGTGTTCTAAATCAGGAAAAATATGAGTAGATTGCACTGTGAGACTTCTGTAATATGTCTAGAGGGAAATTTTATTTTTGGGCCCTTATTGTATGTTATTAAGGATAGTACAGATGTTCCTTCATATTTCTTTGACCATGAAACAGTTTAATTGTAGACATCCTTTATTGTTTTTAGTATGGAAAGCTCTCAAAGGCTAATCTGGTAACAGTTGTTCTCATAGAAAAGGGAAAAGCAATGATTTTTTTTGTGGAATCTGTCGACATTAGAATTTGTCAGGTTTTTATCAAACTCTTTTTTTAAACATTTTTTTTTAGTTGTAGATGGTCACAATATTTATTTATTTTTATGTGGTGCTGAGGATCTAATCCAGGGCCTCACACGTGCACGGCAGGTGCCCTACCACTGAGCCCCAGCTCCAGCCCCTATCAAACTGTATAATAATATTTCAGATATAAAGTAGTATGGGCAAAGGACTGGACTTCCTACCCACATTGATGTGTTGTGAATGGGTTCTGGGTATGCCGCTACTACTGTCTTAAGTTGAAATTATATTTGAACTCTTGTTTATGATTCCCTCTGAAAAGCTGCTGAAGCCTAAATTTAATAGTCATTATTCACTAGCGGAATTCATAATTTTAGTAGTGAAATTCAGTTTGATATTGCATTTGCTGCAGACTCTTGTCATGCCATAGGATTTCTAATTCCCACTCCAAATAGAGTTTACCTCTTTTGGCAGCAAAACTACCTTCTTTTTTTTTTTTTTTAAACTGCCAGTTTTTGTCACCAGTTCCACACTGGTAAAAGTATAATTATTGCTGGTCATGTTGAGTGTGGACTGGGATGGGATGGGAGCAGCTCTAGAGAAGAACGCCATAGTGCTGAGTTTACCCAGAGCTGGAACAGATTTCAAGAATGAAAAGCTGTTCAGGGCTGGGGATGTGGCTCAGTGATAGAACACTTTCTTAGCATGTATGAGGCCCTGGGTTCAATCCTCTATACCAAGAGAAAAAAAGATACTTAATAGGAGAAAAAAAGTTGGTATGGGAATAATTTTCTTTATATGTTTTTGGAAAGACCAAAAACAATGGTTTTATTTAGTTGACATTTAAAAAATTATGTAGGGCTGGGGATGTGGCTCAAGCGGTAGTGCGCTCGCCTGGCATGCGTGCGGCCCAGGTTCGATCCTCAGCACCACATACAAACAAAGATGTTGTGTTTGCCGAAAACTAAAAAATAAATATTAAAATTCATTCTCTCTCTCTCTCTCTCTCTCTCTCTCTCTGTCTCTCCTCTCTCTGTAAAAAAAATAATAATAAATTATGTATACTTAAGGTTACAATGTGATGTTTTTGTATACTTGGTGAAATGATTACTGCAGTCGAGCAAATTAGCATATCCATCTCAACTAATTACCTTGTCTGTGTGTATGTATGGTTAGAGTACCTGGAAACTATATACTAGATTCCACATATAAATGAGATTATGAAGTATTTTTGTTTCTGTCTGGCTTTTTTCACTTGGTATAATGTCTTCAAGTTTCATCCATGTTGTTGCAAATGAAAAGTTGTTTTTAACGGATGCATGATATTCCATCACACACACACCCATGATTTCTTTACCCATTCATCCATTGTGTTAGTCATCTTTCCATTACTGTAACAAATTCTTGAGATGATTAACTTACAAAAATTATTTTGGCTCACATTTTAAAAAGTTTCAGTCCTTGATTGGTTTGCTCTATTCCATTAGACCTGTGACAGTACATCATGGTGGGAGTCTTTGGCCAAGTAAAACTGCTTACCTCTTATCCAGGAAGTGGGAGAAGAAGAGGGAGGGCCTGGGGTTCCATTATCCCTTTCAAAGCCAGATCCCCAAAGATCTGAAGGTTTCCCACTAGGCCCTTCCTAAGGCTTTATAACCTCCCGTAATGCCTATTTGAGGACCAATGCTTTAACACATGAGCCTTCCAAGGACATTTAAGACCCAAACTATAGCTTCCATCAGTGTATGCTTAGGTTGTTTCCTTATCTTGGCTAATCTGGATAATGCTGCAGTGAACATTTGAGCACAAGTATCTCTTAATTTACATTTTTGAGACCTGAATTAGTATAGTACTACTATGACAGAGTTTATGGCTTCAAAATAAACCTCAGGTTTGAAACGCAAATTTATAAATAATTTAATTCATAATAACTTTACAAAAGCGAAGAGTGATGTTTACCACTATTCTTTAGGAGTTGAATTGAAGTTGGTGTAACATTTCTGTATGCATGAAGCAAGTTTTTATTGATTTGAAATATTAGATTTGAAAAAAAGATGTAATTAAGGAATTCAAGCCACAGGAAATTTACTTTAACTTTTTATTTTTTATTTTTGTAGCTGTAGATGGACATCATTCCTTTATTTTAATGTGGTGCCTCACATGGGCTAGGCAAGTGCTCTGTCACTGAGCTACACCCCCAAGCCACAGGAAATTTAAATATTACATTTGTTTTAAGAAAAGGATTTAAAAAAAATCTACCATTTTAAAAAATGATGAGATGAGCATATAAAACACTAATTTTCCAGACAGTGGGAACTTGAGCCTCTCTCTTGCTCAGCCCACTCCACTCTATCTTAAGGAGTGCTACCTTTGCTTTCAATAAATCTAGACTTTGCCTGTTTAAAAAAAAGGGGGATGGGTCACTCATGGTGGCGCACACCTGAAATCCCAGCGGCTCTGGAGGCTGAGTCAGGAGGATCAGGAGTTCAAAGCCAGCCTTAGCAGTGGTGAGATACTTGGCAACTAAATAAAATATAAGCAAATAAAATACAAAATAGGGCTGGAAGTGTGAGAGCGGTCAAGTGCCCCTGAGTTCAATCCTGCTACCTGCTCAGTACCTGAGGATTGAACCAGGACCTCATAATACTAAGGAAGTACTCTTACACTGAGCAACAACCCCAGCCCAGTTATTTATAATTCTTTTTCTTTTTCGGTACCAGGATTGAACCCAGGGGTGCTTAATGACTGAACCACATCCCCAGCCCTTTTTTATATTTATTTAGAGACAGGGTCTCACTAAGTTGCTGAGGCTGGCTTTGAACTCACAATCTTCCTGCCTTAGCCTCCAAAGTCAATGGGTTTACAGGTGAGTGTCACTGTGCCTGGCCTTATTGAAACTCTTGATCAGGAATTAAAGTAACTACTCCAAGTAGGAAGCCTGATATTAAAAAGTCACATGGAAGAAGGCTCAAATTTATTAAAATTTTGAAAAGGTTTTATTTGGAAGTCTATGTAAATTCAGTATTTAATATCTTTCTAAATCTTGATATTTTATTTTTTCTTATATAGTATAGGGAATATATAATGACTATTTTCACCAAGCCCCATATACATCTGGACAAATTTCCTCCAGCATTCCCTGTGCTGGAAAAATATCTTATTTACTAGCATCTGCTTAGAAGAAACAGATCTTGTTCCCAGGCTTCATTATCCCATCTGTACTTTGTTTTGTATAGTAGAATTCAGTAGTTGATGCTATTCAGTATTTAAACACCTATGCCTTCAACCTTACACTTTGACCATTGAAACATACAGCAAAGCCTTTAGGTGTTGGATTTGGGTTTTGGGGATAGAATGACCCCTGATTTTTTAGGGTTCTGGAAAATATTTGCTTTGTACATGTTTTATAATTGTGGTGGCCACACATCTTGGTGTTAACAAACAAACAAATAAACAAAAAAAGAATAATGAGTGAAAAGTTCTGTGACTTTTATATTTCTAGCAAAGAAAGGATAGTGTAAGTGGGAGGACAGGATGTGTGAGAACAAGACTGAAGAGAATGACTACATTCCTCACTGTGTCCTTCATTTGTTGTGGAGAGGTAGATGGTTGAGAAGAGCTTGAAAGGAAACCCTGACCATTTGGTGGCTTGAATCATAATACATTTTGACTTTTCAAAAATTTGGGTTAGCAGTCGGGTGTGGGTGCACACCTGTAATCCCAGAGACTCAGGTTGCTGAGGCAGGAGGATCACAAGTTCAAGGCCAGCCTTGGCAACCCAGTGAGACTTTTAAGTAAACTAGCAAGTCTATCTCAAATAAAAGGACTGGGGATGTAGCTTAGTGATAAAGTGTCCATGGGTTCTATCCCCAGTATTTTTTTTTTTTTTTTTTTAGGGCAAGATACATACATTGAGATTGGTTGTAGGCAACTGAAGTAGATTGCCTGATTAAGCAAAAGAAAGATTTGTGGGAAGAAAATTCATTTCTCCTTGAAAGAACAGAATGAGCCTTCTTTTCAGAGTGTAGTCACAAAATTGTCCTCTTCTAATTGTTTTTTTCAGACTTTTAGTTTTAGCCCTAATCCTGTGGGGATGGGGACTAGGTTTGTTTGTATTGGGTGAGATCAGAAGAATAAATTTATTGGTGAACACAAGCAATGATCGTTACACTATGCAACTAAGGATTGCTATTTGACTTACATTTACCCACTCAATAGTATGGCTCATAGTTCACCTTATCCTTATGAGTCTCTTGGAGTTTGTAGTAAATTAGACTCTTTGAAAGCAGGGATAGTATTGTGTATTATGTTTGTACTCTGCAAGTACTTAATGTTTAGTTTATTGCAGCCCTGATGGGCTCTTTTTACTACATGATTTTTGTATTTTCCAGGCTAGCCATCTCTAGTTGTTCCTATAATAAATTATACTTCTTAGCTTCAGATTATCTTTGAAAATTAAGAGTTTGGGATTCTATGAAAATGGTAATATATGTGGCCATCTTCCTTACCTAATTCAGGGACATGTCTGTATTTTTCATGCCAGTGCTGAAGGTTGTGGTTTGGTGGATGGGGCTATCCCATGTGACTGGTGAAGGAGAACTCATTCGGAGAAAAGGCCCATACTCAGTCTTTAGTCAGAAAGCCTCTTTCATTCACCTGATAATAATGTAATATATTTTATGGGAATATTCTCACCTGACCTCTTTTTGTATTCTTTTAAAAAAACTTTTCTGGAACATGATTTTTTGGTATTTAATAAAACATTAATAAAAAGGAGCTGGGATTGTAGCTCCTTGGAAGAGTGCTTGCCTGGCATGTGAGGTAGTGAGTTAGATCCTCAACACCACATAAAAAAAATAAATTAAATAAAGGTATTTAATTTTATTAAATGGGAAAAAAAGGCAAAATGCTTTTGCGTTACTTTTATCATTTTTCAAATAAGGAAGCCTCTCTTTTTTATTTTTTTTTTCCAGATGTTGATGGACCTTTACTTTATTCATTTATTTATATGTGTTGCTGAGAATCAAACCCAGTGCCTCACACATGCTAGGCAAATGCTCTTCCACTGAGCCGTAACCCCAGCCCTACCTGTAAAATTTTTTATTATGCCTCTTTTTTTAAAAAAGGCAAGGCATGAGAGTGTCTAGAAAAATCTTTCCCTTTGCTGTGCTCATCAAATGAAGTATCTCTTTCCCCTTAAACAGGCAGTTGCAACAGTACAGAATGGCTGACCTCAGTCTTGCAGATGCATTAACAGAGCCACCTCCAGAAATTGAGGAAGAGATAAAGCGGGACTTCATTGCCACACTGGAGTCAGAGGCCTTTGAGGATGTTGTGGGGGAAACTGTTGGAAAAACAGACTATATTCCTCTCCTGGATGTGGACGAGAAAACTGAGAACTCTGAGTCAAAGAAGAAACCATGCTCAGATACCAGCCAGATTGAAGGTAAGTATTTAAGGCAAACTGAAAATATATATGTTCAGAAAGTAAATTGGAGTTTATGATTTGGGTCATAATCTTAGAAACCCTGAGGAAACTCATTCAAGTTTTCTAGTATAGGCTAGTAACTTTCTCTTTACATTTCTTTGTTAGAAACTGGAGAGACAGACTCATTACCTTTTAATTAAGTGTGTGTTCATGAGACTATAAATTACTTTGTGTTCATAAGACTATAAATTACTTTGTGTGTGTGTGTGTGTGTGTGTGTGTGTGTGTGTGTGTGTGTGTTGGGGCGTGGGGGGCTTGTGCATGCTAGTCAAGCACTCTACCAGTTGAGCTATTTCCTGAGCCCCTATAAATCACTTTAATTCTAAAGTTTCTTCTGTGATATTTCAACTCTTATATAATCTACTTCTTAATTTCCTTACTGTGCCTTTCCTTTGAAAAAGCCTTGTAAAGTTAAATACATAAAATTATGTACTTAAATTAGAATTTATCTTAGATGGGAATGCGGCACCATTTATTGTTTTTAGAGTCACTTCAGGTCAGGATTAAAAAATGGATTAAAGTCTTTAAAAGAGATTTGCTGTTTTTATATATTTCTGAATCAGATTTGCTAAATATTTGGTTGAGGATTTTTGCAGCAATATTCATGAGGGATATTGGTCTTTCATTGTCTGGTAACATCTTTGTCTGGCTTTAGAATTGAGGTCATGCTGACTCCATAAAATGAGTTGGGAAAATATTCCCCCCTCTTTTGTTTTCCAGAATAATTTGTATGTAATGGATATTGTTTTCTTCTTTTCAATGTTTGATGGAATTCATCAATTAATCCATCTATGCCTAGTTTTGTCAACTTTTTAAAACTAGGAATTAAATTTCTTTGAGATAATAGGTCTAACTAGGTATAGTGGCACACAGCTATAATCTAAGCTACTTGGGAGACTGAGTCAGGAGGATCTCACCCAGTTCAAGACCAATCAGGGCAGTTTAGCAAGACCCTCTTAAAAGGAAGAAAGAAAGAATGAAAGAAAAAAGGGAAGGAAGGAAAGGAAGGAAAAAAGAGAGAGGACTGGGGATGTCCCTCAGTAGTTGAGTGCTTGCCTAGCATGTGCAAGCTCCTGGTTTCAGTCTCCAGTTGAAGAGCGAGAATAGGAGGATTATTTAGGTTATCTATTTCTTGTCAAGTGAATTTTGGTAATTTGTATCTTTGTCTCCCCTCACCTCCTTTATATCCATTGGGGATTGAACCTAGGGTATCATGCATACTAAGCAAGTGCTTTACCATTGAGCTATATTCTTCAGCCCTAATTTGCATCTTTCTAGGAGTTCCTTGGTTCATTTTCTCTAAGTTGTCAAATTAATGGAGATAAAATCTTTTTTAATGTTCTAGGGCCTATTGTTATGACCCTTCTTTCTTTCCTTATTGACAATTTGTATCCTTTTTCTTGGTAAGTCTAGATAGAGATATATCAATTATCTTGATATTTTTAAAGATTTAGCTTTTTGGTTCCATTAATTTTTTTCTACTGTCTTTCTGTTTTCAATTCTGCTCATATCTTTATTATTTTCTTCTTTCTTTTTACTTTGAGTTGATTTGCTCATTTTACTTACGGTGGCTGCATAGACAGTTAGTTAGAGACCCTATTTTTTTGTTCTTTTTTTTGGACCATGGATTGAATCCTGGGGCGCTTAACCACTGAGCCACATCCCTAGTCCATCTTTTACATTTTTATTTAGACACAGGGCCTTATTGAGTTTTTTAGGTTCTTGCTGAGTTGCTGAAGCTGGGTTTGAACTCAGGATCCTTTTGCCTCAGCCTCCTGAACTGCTGGAATTTTAGACATGTGCCATCACATGCTGTCCCATGGATTTTAATATGTTGTATTTTTTATTTCCATTCAATTAAACCTAGTTTCCCTTGTGAATTTCTCTTTGAACTGTGGTTTATTAAGGATATTTCTTAATTTGCAGCATTCCGCAAGTTTTCAGATAGCTTTCTGTAATTGATTTTTTTAGTTTAGTTCTATAGCTATCAGAAGATATCATTGAAATTTTAGTTTATTTTAATTGTCAAGGTTTGTTTTGTGATCTACAGTAAATTCTGTTTGGTCAATATCCTGAAAGCCTTAAAATAATATGCATTATGCTATTATTGGTTGGAATGTTAATGTTAAAGTGTTTGGTTTTCTGTGTCTTTATTGTACTTCTGTTTACTTGTTCTGGGAATCTCTGAGATTGAATTCTGTGTCATTTTGTATTTTAATTCATAAGTTCTTTCAGTTTTGGTTTGTGTTTTTGAAGATCTGTTATCACATGTATACATCTACATTTAGATTGTTATGTCTTCCCATCTCACCTTTTTTTCCTTTATGAAATATGTATACTCCCTACTTCATCCTGGGGATCCTGAACAGAGCCTCACACATGCTAAGCAAGTGCTCTGACATTGAGCTACAGCTCCAACCCCATGTCTTTCTTTTAGTCTTCCCCCAGGTCTGCATCACCAGGGCTATAGCTCCAATGGAGACCCTCTGATCTTCCATGCTGCCTCAAGCCTTTTAAAAAACTCATCTAGTGAAGACAGTCATCCAAGTAGGTGTGAATCCATTGGGTAATTGTGGATCCCAGGGATTCTTCAGTTAGCTGAACTTTTTCTACCTGCTGATATTGCACCTAGCATCTCTTTATTTGGATTTTTACTACTTGGTGGTCCTAAGTAGCCCTCTGGTGAATTCCAAGTTATGATTCAGTGGTTGGTCTGGCTTTTTCTTGTTGGGATAGAGGTGACATTGCCTCTGTCTTCATATGGAAGATTTATTTGAGGAATGAGGGTAACCCCAAATCATTAGGAAAAATGTTGACAGTTTATTATCTAATTGCACCATATAAATATTCATTCTAAGAAAAAAAATTTGCTTTTTTTTTTAAAATACTATCTCTTCTCCTCCTCATCTCTTCCTCCCCGCCCCCAGCCCATCAGTCACTGGTGGAAGAATCTTGCTTCTTATCATTTTCTGTTTTCCTTTAGTTGTGTATTGCTTTCACCATCTAGGACTGAAGGACAATGAAGTAGTAACAGGAAGTTTTCTTGTACTTCATTTTCAGTGGTTTGATCCACATCACATTAACTTTATTTATGAGGAGGAAAGTTGTTTTATGTTTGTTTTTGTGATTCTGGGGATCAAACCCAGGGCCTTGTACATGATAGACAAATGCTCTACCTCTGAGCTATACTCGCCAGCCCTGGGAGGAAAGTTTTTTCAGAAATTGATTTTGCTTATAAAGATGATTAACCCCTTCCCTGCTATTCTATTAAGTTTCATTTTAACAAGGTTTCCTTTTTTGTTTTTTTAACCCACCCCTTCATTTGCCTTTTTTTTGTTGTGTGTGCACGCACGTGCGAACGTGCATGTACAAACCCAGGGCCTCCTGCATACTAAGGAGGCATACTCTGAGCTAGCTGCAGTATGTAAATAATTTATTAAAAGTTCATTAATGTAGAAATTGGTGGCAGTGATTACTTGAGAAAGAGAACTGGCCGGCTATGGTGTAAGGGTTGGGGAGAGTCATTTTTTTTACTGTATATTCTTTTGGCTTAATTGGATTTTTTATATATGCATTTGTTAACGTGTTCAAAAAGAATAATAGTAAAGTTTATAAGTGCAATGTCTTAAATTATTAAATACCATTTTTTTCCATGTCAGTGTACTAAAGTTTATTTTTATAGAAGCCTGGGCTGAGAATAAGGGAAATGGAAGGTAGTTATTTGGAGACATTGAAGAAGAAAGGAGAGGAGTTTCTTTATTAGATACTTGAGAAATATAGAGCAGTGAGTGGCTTTGCTGTGAATGGCAATTTCCCTTCTGTGGGTCTGATTTTTATAGATTATCAGACTGTCAGTTTTGCCAAAATGATTAATTTCACTTTTGTTTTTTATCTAAAACATTCTAAATATGATGTTCTTTCTTCTGAACATTTCTTCAGAAGTGACAGAAGGACTCTAGACTTTTTATGTTTTATTATACATCTAGCTTTTTAAGTTTTATTTTCTTTTCGGAGTAGGTTCAGTAAGATATCACTGGTGCTTTTATGATAAAATTTTGCAGCAGTCTCAGGCCAACCAGTGGAAGTTTTATTAACCACTTTCCTGCATCTAGATACAGAAGGGTCAGTTGAATGGGTTACACGTAATAGAACTCTTTGGACAATGGTGTTTTTATTTCCTTAAATTCTTATACTCCCACCCTACTTTTAACCTTCAACTTAAAAATGAAGGGCAAGAAAGCAGGGCTGCCTTTATGTTATTTAGCACAATTTGGAATGTTGCTTTTCCCTCCAAGTACAATTCCTGCACCAAACATTTTAGGTTCACAGTGTGAGTGTCATGGATGCTTGTTGCTACTGAGTTTGATATTGTTTTTAAGTCTTGTCTGTTTACATACTGTACACTTTCTTTTTTGTACTACTGGGAGTTGAATCCAGGGCCTCATGCATGCTAGGCAAGCACTTTACCACTAAGCTACATCCCTAGCTCTACTTTCTTCTTTTTTACTCCCTTTACTCATAAACTATCCACATATACCTGGGAATAAAAGCAATATCAAACTGTATATCTAAAATGCCTTTCATTTAAAAATAATAATAAAATGCGTTTCACCTTAGAAAACAATTCTCAATTGCTCGCTCTCTCTCTCTCTCTCTAATAATTTTTGGTTGTAAATACATCATTCATTCATTCATTTATATTCGGTGCTGAGAATTGAACCCAGGACCTCACACATGCCAGGCAAGTGCTCTACCACTGAGCCACAACTCCAGCCCCACAGTTGCTTTCTCTTAATGTATGTGTTACTTCGTTTTTTGTTTTGTTTTGCTTCAAAAATAGTATGTTCATACTGATTGCTTGCTATTAGCAGTATTTCTCTCAAATGTGAATAACTAAGAAATAATTCTTGTTTTTCATTCAAATGAACATTTAATGTACTGTTTACCCACAGAACAAA